TCCACAAGGCAGTGTAATCTTTTTTAAAAAAATAAAAGGCAGACCCTGGAACTTCCATGCTTAAAACAGTCACCTCAGGATAATTTAAAAGCCCTTACCAGGACCTATAATTCCTCACATGAAACAGACCTTTGGCTTCTCTGTTCTCATTCTGTCTCCCTTATCCTCAAACTCACCGGCCTCTCAGCTGTTCTTCAAACGCACAAACTACTGTTCTGTCAGACACTCTGCTCTTGGTTCTCCCACTGTCCAGAATGTTCTTCTCCAGTTAGCTCATTCTCACGTCCTTCAAGGCTTGGCTTAAATGTCATCTACCAAGGAAACCTTCCGTATCACTTCCCCCCCCCCTTTCTGTACCATCAAATCAGATCCAACTGGCATAGAAGGAGATAGCCCCTCCTCCAGCAGAGCATCTGGTGGGTTAGAACTGCACACCTTCGGGATTGCAGCACCGCTTCTTGCCACCTAGCCACCCGAGCCCCCTTCCTTGTCACCTTTTAAAGAACCTACTTGTCTTTTCCTTCATAGCGCTTACTATTTCTGAAACATGTATTGTACATTCTGATGATTATTGTTCTCTCTCCATCACTAGACCTGAAAAACTTAAACTGACAGTACATTTTCCATTGATGTACACCCAGACCCAAGGTCTTTGCCTGGCTCATAGTAAAAGAATTCACTGCATTGGGGTCAGTGCCAATTTATACAAATCTTCTATCAGGCTTCTGACGCTGTAGATACTTTTAGAAGGAGACTGTCCATCTTTCTCCCAAAGTGTGACTGGTGGATTCCAACTTTCGACCTTTTGGTTAGTAACTCACATTACACATTATACTACCAGGAGTCTTACGGGAAGAGCTCTGTAAATATTGATAAATGCGTTAGTATATGAATAAATGAGTGAGGGACTCCTCAGAGAGTGACTAGGATAGTCACATGAAGTAAAATAGATGGGGTTGTTTCTGGCACATGGCTGGGGTGGTAAGGATATCTGTTCCTTTTGGCTGTATTATTACAAAGAAGATGGAGTTAAAATGTGGCGGCAGTGGAGGGAAGTTAATCATTTTGTGAAATCTGCCATTAACAGGACTTGCTTCTATGTTTCATTTGTTTCCATCTGGCCTCGTTTAAGGATAATTGAGAAAACATTTTCCTTTGAACTGACTTCTAGGTTTTGTGTCTGACTAATGGACATTTCTCTTAAGCTGCCTAGTTTAATTAGAAATGCCATGGCGGGGAATTCTCCACCTGTAGTGGCAGGCAGTGAGCTCTGGTGGCCAAGTGGAAAGGAGCTGCACTGTCATTCCAAAGGTATGTGGTTCAAGTCCACCGGCCGCTCCATGGGAAAAAGTTGGTCAGTCTGTTCCCGTGAGAATAAACTGTCTCTGAAAACCTGCAAGCAGGCTCTGAAGACCCCACACGATTTCTGGCCACATTCAATGGGACCAAAGAGAATGTTGCAAGCCTCAGGGCATCACATTAAACTTCCAGAAACATTGAACACCAACCTTGATGGAAGGTTTAGGACCCGAAAGGAGACACGGCTGGATATGTATACAGAGCCACTGTCCTGTCTCGTGTCATCAGGTGCTTACCTTTGGTGCACGAGCAAACGCCTTTGTTATTTTTAAGAAACTTGGAATTTGTCAAATGAATTAGTACCAAAGGAATAGGTTTGCTTTCAGAGTCTACATCCTGTCCCACCGGAAGTAATGCCATTTCCCCCAGAGAGAAATCCTTTTCACCCCCTTGTCCAATCCTGGAAGACTAACTGCAGTGGAAGGAGTTTGAAGGAAGGCATATTTAATTTTAAACCCTGATCTAAACTCACACAAGCTGTGCGATCTTGAGCAAGGTCCCTAACCCATGTGAGCTTCCAGTTCTCCGGGCATAAAAAGAACAGCATCTTCGTTGAATTGTTGGCGTGATTCTGAGGGATAGGCAGGTGCAGCACTGAGCTCAGCTTTAGACTCCCAGGTCTCTGCTTCTCGTGCCCTTTTCATATTTCTCCTCCTCTTCCTTCCATTTACATCCACTTATGTAGTTCTCAGAGGAAGCTCCCACACATCATCCTCTGTGACCCTCACCATAGTGCAATCATAGCAGATATTGTTCTGGTTTTGAGACAGAGGTAGTCAGTGGCTTGAATCATCTGAGCTCAGTGGAGAAGCAGCAGATAATGATTTTCTTTCTTTTTTCTTTCTTTGGGCTAGGATTTACTTGGATAAGCCTTTCTCTCTCTAGATTACATATTCCATGACAAGATTTTCCCAGATTCCTTTACTTTCTACCCAGAAATCCATTCAAAGTCTGTATCAAATACTACTCCACAAGCATCCCCTAGTTAAGACGCCCTCCCTTGCCCTCCCCACCCCCATCCCCACCAGTGTGCAGCCTGAAGGACCGGAAGTGAAGCTGTTGTTGTTCTGCTCCTTTACTGATGCCGGTCTTCACCTCACGTGGGGCTCAGTCTACAGGAGTCCCTGTCTCAAAGCCCTCTCTCATTTATTCTTGTTGGAGATGGCCGGACCTTGGCGGAATTGATGCTGCGTTCTCAAGGACTCATGACCATGCCCCATACCTCAGTTAGAAAATGGTACACAGGGTGCAGTAACAAAAACAACTCCAAGGGACAACTTCTCTGCCTCCTCTGTGGTGGACCAGCCGTGTCTGATGGCTGTGAGCCTTCGGGCTTGGTCAGCCTACTGCTTCTGACTTCGCTGTGTGGATGGTTGCTGCTTTTTCTGGCTAATCCTTTCTGATTAATGGCATCCATTTTTGGTATGTGTGGCTTCCTCACAAGATCAGACGCTCCTGAAGTATTGCTCCCTGAAGTAGAAGAGCACAGCCTAAATCACTATGTTGTTATTGTTGTGGACCCCAGCACTGGAAGCGACCCCTAGCTAACCCTTCTGCTAGTTTTCCAAGGCCGTTAGTCACACGGGAGGAGACTGCCCAACCTCTCCTGTGGAGCAGCTGGTGGATTCAGTTGGGAGTCAGTTCCGACTCAATGGTACTCAACAACAATAACAACAGTCTTTGACCTTCTGCAGCAAGTTTTCAAGTCCTCACTTTTAGCAAGCAAAGTTATGTCATCTATATAATGCAGGTTGTTGATGAGTCTTCCTCCAATTTTTTTTAAATACAATTTTTATTTTATACTGGTTTCCTTACAAAGTTTGTATACATTGTCATGCAACATTGTTCTCCATATAGTCCAACTTAATTCATTTTTTACTCTGTATAAGATTGAATAGGTATGGAGAAATTAATACTTTCCTGACTTTAAACAGTGCAGTGTTCCCTTACCGTGTCAGACAACAGCTTCTTGGTGTAGGTGTAGGTTTTTGCATGAGCACAATTAAGCATTCAGGGATTCCCATTTTTCTCAATGTCAGCCATAGTTTTATGATGTTGTTGTTGTTGTTATGTGCCGTCAAGTCGTTTGCGACTCATAGCGACCCTATGTACAATAGCCCTAAACCCTGCTCTATCCTGTGCCAATCTCATTGCCTCTGACACACCCATCCTGATTACCCCAGTCACTGAATCAATCCACCTCACAGAGGGTCTTCCCCTCCTGCGCTGTCCCTCTACTCTACCCAGCATGATGTCCCTCTCTAAAGACCTGTCTCTCCTTACAACATGTCCAAAGGATGTCAGACGAAGCCCCAGAATCCTTGCCTCCAAGGAACAGCCTGGTTTAACCCTCTCTACGATGATACACAGTCAAAAGCCTTTGCTTACACAATAAAACACAAATAGACATCCTTCTGATCTTCTCTGCTTTCAGCCAAAATCTGTGACATCAACAATGATACTGTTCGTGCTATGGCTTCTTCTAAATCCAGCTTGAATTTCCGGCAGTTCTCTGATGATGTGCTACTGTTCTAGCTGTTTTTGAATGCTCTTCAGCAAGATTTTACTTGTGTGTGTTATTAATGATATTGTTCGATAATTTCCACCTTCTCTTGGATAATTTCCACCTTCTCACTTTTTGGAAGTGAGAACAAATGATCAATTGACCAGACAGCACTCCTCCAAACCTCCTGGCACAGCCTAGTGAGGAGGTCTAGGGCTGCACCTCTTTGCTGAAGCATGTCAATTGATATTCCCTAGATTCCTGGGGCCTTATTTAGGTCTGGGTATTCCTCATTTCTTTTTGTTGGTTTGGTTTTTTTGGGTTGGTTTTGGTTTTTTTGTTTTTTTGGGTTTTTTTGTTTTTGTTTTTTTGCAAAGATTAGGCAGGATGATTAAGTCAAGCATGACCCCTTATGGTGTATAGTCCTTAAGGAGGTACACTGTTAACCTAAAGGCCATGTCTGTCTGGCAGTTCAAATCCACCAGCGGGTCCAAGGGAGAAAGATGGATAGTCTCCTCCTGGGTGGCTTATGGCCTCAGATACCAAATGGAGAGCCAGTTATGGGTCCGTTCCAACCTGGCAAGCATTGAGCTGGTCGGAGTTATCTGTTGAATGATCAATCACAAAGAACAAGGCCATCTAAAACTCCAGTGCTCTGTTGTCGTCAGGGGCCCTGAGTCAGCTCCAATTCCAAGTGTGCCTGTGAACAACAGAACGGAACTCTGACAAATCCTATGCCATTTCTTGCACGCCTGCTGTGCTTATACGTCCATTATTGCCACTGCATCAATCCATCCGTGGAGGCTTTTCCCTCCTTTTTTGCATTATAGATCCAGCCTTTAAGCCCAGGTGTTTGTAACCTCAGTATTTCTGATGGTTCAAACTCAAAAGTCAGAGTGTCAAACCCCATTGTCCAGAGAGATTGTACTCCACATCAGTGACAGCAACAGGGGACCTCTTGCTTGCTAGCTTGGCTTGAGGGGTGTAAAGCCCCTCTTCACCAGGCGCAGGCTCTGCCCACACAGGGATAAGGACCCCCACGTGTCCGTGGGGACGGTGCAGAGCATGGATCAGGCCTCACCCCCACAGCACGAGTCTGCATGATCGTAAGAGAGACTGTTCTGTCATTGCATTGCAGCTCCAGAAACTAAAACGATCACTTTCTTTCAAGACCAAGAGTTTACGGAGCAAAAGTGCTGACAACTTCTTCCAGCGAACCAACAGCGACGTGAAGCTACAAGCCGACATGCTGGCTGAAGGCAGCCCCAGCTCCAGTCCGCTCCCCACACCTGGAAGCCTGGCATCTACACCCACCAAGGCCGGCCTGCTTCCAGGCAGCAGCAAGGCCCACGCCTTTCAGGAACACATCTTCAAGAAGCCCACCTTCTGTGACGTCTGCAACCATATGATTGTGGGTAAGGCTCTCCTCTGCCCCTTGCTCCAGGCCCCAGGGTCTCCTGGAGAGCTGAGTGAGAGGGCTGTATCCCAGGCCCACTTCCCTAACTCTTACCCCCAGAGATTGACACACAAGAGGTTTATGGGGAGTGGTTGGCGGAATATTTGTGAAAAGCTAAGAGAAACAGGACTGGGCAGGGGGAGAAGAGTTAGTTGTGAGGAAGATTAGTCACAGAGCTCTGAAGTCCTGTTGAGTTCCTTTGCAGTGAATCAGGGGGCTGGGTCTTTGCAATCCTATCATTGCATGTGGGCAGCTACTGGGAAGAGAGTATCATCAGGGTATCATGGGAAACAAGGAAGCTTCTCTTTGCCAAAGGCAACTGGGGAGGGCTCCAGGAGGGTGAGTGCTTCACGTCTCAGAGCGCAGTGCATGTGGTCTGCGTCAGCCAGGGTGGCCTGGGAAGGGGAATCTGTTGCTCAGGAAATTACAGGTGAGTGAACCAGACATAGAGCTGGAGGGAGGGATGGCTCGGGGGCTGAAGGTCTTTGAAGAGGCAGTGAACTAGAAAGGAAACGTGATGCAGCCTTCATAACAACTCTCGTCCATAAAATACCTCAGTCATAATCAATTACAGAGAAGGGGCTGGCCTAGGAGCCACAGGGATTATCCCAGGATGGAAACAGCGACTTGGTAAATGGCCCAATTAAAGAGGAAACCTAGGCCGTTCAGTCGGCTGTGTGCCCTGACATTGCACTGTCTTCTTGTCTCTCCTGTGTCAGCAATCCAGTGACCAAGCAGATGGCAGGGGCCATGAAGGGCATCAGAGTAGGATTCAAATGATACTGTCAGGCCAGTTTCAAATAATCACACATCCTGGCAAACTGGCAAAACAATTACTACAGAACAAGAAAAAAAGGGAAGGAATCAAGCCCATGACTACTGCTTTCAAGGGAGATTAGGGAGTACCTAGCGAGCTCAGCTGGGGCGGCGGGGCGGGGGGCAGTTAGTGGTAAGGAATTGCACCACTAATTCAAGGATACCCAGTTCAAATCCACACCAGTTGCTCTGTGCGATAAACAGGGGCATTCTCCTTTGCTATTTACTGCCTCTGAAAACCCACTGGAGGGTCAAATCTGAGTCAGTTTAGACTCAACGTACATAGCAACAATGATTCAGTTAGGAGCAGTTAAAGGGCAGAATGTTGGAATGAAGAAAATAAGGTTGAAGCCAAGGTTGATGGACCATGGGTTCTTCTTCTCCTAAGACAATGCAGATACCTGTCAGATTTTTACAGCAACTAGCAGTGCCCGGAGAGAAAGCGGCATCAGTGCCAGCAAGGGCCTGGGGAGAAGTCACGCCTTCAGTCGTTGGAAGGACACTGCTCAAATCAATAGTTCCAGCTTTCCAGGCTGGCCTGGACGAAAGATGGTCTGCCTTTTAACTCCACCTTCTAGCACCTCTCAGCAAGATGCACCCCCAGTGGGTAATCTAGAATAATCTTGCTATTTCAGGAACAACTGGTTAGCAAACTCACTTTCAATAGCAATCTTAACTTCCTGTTGTCATATTACAACAGTGCAAAGATAAGAATGCAGACACGTTTGGGGGACTGTCTTTCTGCCTACCGCATCTAATACAAGGGAAAGACATGGTATCAACAGTGTCCACTGGTGGGTACGGTTGTGGTTGTAGTTAGGTGCTGCTGGGCCAACTACAAACCTTAGCATCTATCTAAGAACAACAGATTGGAACTCTGCTCTGTCCTGTGCCATTCTCTTGGTTTCTGACATGCCCACTGTTCGAGCCACTGTGTAAATCTGGCCTCTTGAGGACCTTCCTCTCTTTCTTTGGTTAATAGGAAAGTGTTAGGACCGCAGAGCCCTCTCCTTCCTCTCCTAGCATGACTGCTGAGAGAATCCAGTCACAGGAAAACAGCAGCTGTGCTTTTTCTGTGAAACTACCTTCCCATCCCCGCTTCCCAGGAATAGTTATCTGAGACCCCAGCCCACTTCCCTGTCGTGAAGGAAGCATCTGTAAGCATCCCCTTCCCCAAGTCCCTTATTGTTTGTTGTTGTTGTTGTTATGTGCCGTCCGAGTCCTTTGCGACTCATAGCGACCCTATACAACAGCCCTAAACCGTGCTCTATCCTATGCCAATCTCATTGCCTCTGACACACCCATCCCGATTACCCCAGTCACTGAATCAATCCACCTCATAGAGGGTCTTCCCC